ATTTAATTTAATTTGCTCTGTTTACCATGCACACTGTTAGCCTTTTATGTTTTTGTGAACAGAATTAAGTGATAATAAACAGTCAAATGTTACAGAGGCACAGATGGGAGTCGAGTCATCACCGTTTTATATTCCGTTTATCCTGGCAATGAGACAGGATGCTGAATATTTTATTTCTTATCTACAGATGAATGGACCTCCTGTTAATTGTTTAAAATTGAGATGTCAGATTTTCTGACATTTATAGGCACTCTCTTGTCTAATAAAATGATTCTGTTCAAAATTGTGATGTTTTAGTCAGTATCACAAAAAAGGATTGACTGAAGTTAAACTATTAGTGTTAAATCTGGTTAGAGCCCACGAGATCGCTGTGATATTTGTAACCAGGGATGGTAGTAACACATTGTATTGTTGGACAGATGTTCTGGTGTATCGCTGTAACTCTTGTGTCTGGGAGATAGAAAAGATACCAATGAGGAAATTAGATTAGTATTATTTATATATATGTCTGTGGTGGGTTTACTGGAACTCTTGTATCCTGGAGATAGAAAAGCTAGTCACCAATGAGGAGACTGAATAAGTATTTATATATAGCCGTGGTTTAATGTTACGTTTTATTTCCTACAGAGTTATGTAATAGAGTTACAATAATTCTCTGTTGGCCACAATAGAACTTCCTTGACTTAAAAAATGGAGAAAAAAAATCTGTGTTGGCCAGTATATGAGGGCACTATGTTAACTCATTCACCCCTGAAGACACATTTTAATTCTCCCAATTCAAAGGTTGGAATATTTCATTATGAACTTTCTGGGGCGAATGAGTCAAGGCCTTAAGGGTAAGTTTTGCTATCATATGTATTTAATTATACTCTTGAAAAATAATGACCATGTATGTATCACCTTAGTTACTGCCACCATATTCCAATAGCTCTTTTCCTTTATAAGTTTCCCTTAATTTATAGCCAAACTCCTTTATAATGCCAACATTTTCTATAGACAAACGGTGGCAGTATAACAAGGTTTAACAGTACATATTGATATATAATCCAGATAAGATGTTACAATAAGTCAGAATCATTCACTGACAAGAGAGACAGGTTTAATAGAACTAAGTCAATTCACCTGGAAATAGTATATATCCTGTGTCACCATAGGATGTATCTTTTCTGGAGGAGCATCACAGCCATCCTCCTCATCAGCAAGGTGTGTGCTATACCTTAGATGTACTGCTGCAGCAGCTGCTAGCCAGTAATACAAGACTATAGCCCCCTACTGTTAGAGAACACAGACCATTACAAACAAGGTACTTGAGTTGCTGCCAGACGTTGGTCAGTAATGAGCAGCCTGTATACAATCATCCCGTCTATACCACAAACGGAAGGTCTATACCACAAACACAAGATCTATACCACAAATGCAAGATCTATACCACAAATGCAAGGTCTATACCACAAATGCAAGGTCTATACCACAAACGCAAGGTCTATACCACAAACACAAGGTCTATACCACAAACACAAGGTTTATACCACAAACACAAGGTCTATACCACAAAAACAAGATCTATACCACAAACACAAGATCTATACCACAAACACAAGGTCTATACCACAAACACAAGGTTTATACCACAAACACAAGATCTATACCACAAACACAAGGTCTATACCACAAACACAAGGTTTATACCACAAACACAAGGTGTCAAACAAATCAGCTGGTTTGGACATTGGACAAAGTCTACACCAATGTTTTCTGAAAGGAATATTTCTGAATTTGATATAGTTTTGAGGATGAGTTATTTTACTTCCTTTCTGTAAATTAAATGCAATTTGAGAAGAAGAAATATATTCTGTTACATTTTTGGAAGAAATAACTTGCTACATTGAGATATATGGTGTCAACTTGCTATTTTGTAGTATAAGTAGTTGGTAGCTTAATTGTTATATTTTGAGTTAAAATGATGGGCTATGTCGTATACATGGGAGATGAGCTTGCTCTGTTTTAGGAATAAATGTATGGTTGGTGAGCCTGAGTGTATGGTTGGTGAGCTTGAGTGTATGGTTGGTGAGCTTGAGTGTATGGTTGGTGAGCTTGATATGTTGTGAGTTTTGAGTGTATGATTGGTTAACTTGATCAATTGTGAGTTTTGAGTGTATGATTGGTTAACTTGATCAATTGTGAGTTTTGAGTGTATGATTGGTTAACTTGATCAATTGTGAGTTTTGAGTGTATGATTGGTTAACTTGATCAATTGTGAGTTTTGAGTGTATGATTGGTTAACTTGATCAATTGTGAGTTTTGAGTGTACGATTGGTTAACTTGATCAATTGTGAGTTTTGAGTGTACGATTGGTGAGCTTGATCAATTGTGAGTTTTGAGTGTACGATTGGTGAGCTTGATCAATTGTGAGTTTTGAGTGTATGATTGGTGAGCTTGATCAATTGTGAGTTTTGAGTGTACGATTGGTGAGCTTGATCAATTGTGAGTTTTGAGTGTACGATTGGTGAGCTTGATCAATTGCGTGTTTGAGTGTATGATTGGTGAGCTTGATATATTGTGAGTTTGAGTGTACGATTGGTGAGCTTGATCTATTGTGAGTTTGAGTGTACGATTGGTGAGCATGCTCTGTTGTGAGTGTAAATGGTTGATGAGAGCGTGCAGCATTCTGTAGAGCTGTTTTACTATAGCTGGTGGACAGTAGTCACAGACCATCAAAAGCTGCTGTGCCATGGGGCTGTGATCCTCTTATCAAGATGCAATGGTTATGATAGAGAACAAAATGTCAGATGGCAGCAAAAAGATATCAGCTATCACAAGGTTGTGATTGTAGAAACACAGAGACTCTGATACTGCCACAGTAGGCAGATGCAGGCTTTGTTTCTGGTTTCTGAACTCTCTCAAACCACAAAAAAATGGAAATGAAAATGGTTGATCTCTAACCACCAGATGGTGGGGCACTTCACTTGGTTGACCTCCAATCAGATATTGGATAATTTTTGCAGTTACAGCATTTTATTCTTAGATATTTGAGATTATTTTGCAGTTTCAAACAAATTAATGACAAAAGATCAGATTATTCTCCTGTGTCTCAATTTTTTTGTTTATTATTAATGACCCAAGTTATTGTTTAACTGGAGATTTACGACTGCCGTAGACCCCTATATAGCTAGTAGTAAACGAGGCGGCGAGATTAAAACAACATATAAAATGTCGAGATGGTCATTAATATAAGAGGTGGTAATGGTGAGCCGCACCAGTGTTTGCGGGGTGTGATAGATTTCACTATAAGGCCACGGGGAGACGTGGCGCCAGTACATCTTATCACAGTCCTACCATAACTTCATGCATAATTACGCAAGATCGTCAGAAAGGAATTGATGGACATTGGTGTAGAAATGAATCAGTTCATTAATTGGTGCCTGGTTGCCTCCTTGAAAGTACTGGCTTCCTGATCGGCCTACGATCCTGGGAATCATGTGGGTGATGTCCCTGTGAAAACTGGTTCATTTATTTGTTTATTTGCAATTTACTGGCCAGCTAAATGGTTCCCGTAAAACGTCCTTGATCAGGCTAAATATCTCACTTTTCTGGCCTTCTGATCAGAAATTACTGTATGATAGGGATGGTAAGGTATAGTCACCTGGGTTTAATTGTAGCAGTTCCAAAGGGGGGAAATTGGTTGGCCTCTGATCAGTAAAACGGAAAAGCTGTTTCACCTCATTTCATTAAATCAAATGACCTGTGGTCACCAAGATGAGGTCAAATGATTGACTTTGGTATCTAAGGAGGGGAATGTGACCTCTTACCCCTAAAGAAGAAAAGCTGATTGACCCTAAGTCACAAAATTGGATGTTTCTTGGTTTCTGGTCACTAAGATTCAGTATTGTAATGACTAAAATCTGGTTGCCACAGTAGGGAAGTTGATTGACCTATGGTCACTAATAAGGTAATGAAGCAATGATTGATCTCTGGTAAGATGACCTGTATCACTGACTTCAGCTATACTTAGCTGTGCATTCTTCCCATAGAAATGTGCTATTGTTATGTTTTCATACTTTCATGTAGTGTCGACGTTGGTTCAGCTTGTTGAGTAAATGTAAAATTACTTTCATTGTAAGTAATAATGTATTTTACTTTATATGTAAAATTATTTCAAGCATATCATACTGAAATGTTTCAACAATACCTGATTCAGGTCCAATAGATAATGATTCAGAAAAATTTATGAATTACTGGAAAACACTAACCATAGTTTCAGGAATATGACATAATTGACATGGAGCCTGCGTCAGTTTGACACACACATACACGTATATATTGTGTATGTATGTATGTATAAGTAGAGGAATGATGTTTATCAATACCTACTTGAGATGTCCTCTTGACCTTCCTCTTAAAGTCTGCAGTATTGGCCAGACGACCACTTACAGATTTTTACAAAAGTCAAGTACTGATTGAGACTAAAAATAAAGTCAGTCTGTGATCTGGGATATCTGTGACATTATAGTCCCAAGGGTACTCCAATACATGTCTATAAACCAGGGCGACCTATAAATATACCTAGTATACAACTTTGTCTTGAGGTAGAGTTCCTGCAGTTTGGAAGATGGCTTAAATGGTATTCCAATGGCAGATTGCTTGATACCTTGTCACACTGGTTTTAAATACAGACAGCTATGTGGCAGATTTTGTACACAGGATTACAGATGCCTTCTAGCTTCGCTGTAGTGGGAATTTCCCTTTAACTCTGTGGTAGAGTATCCGACTAGGAACCTATGGGTCGCGGGTTTGATCCCCGGTGGAAGCACACTACTCTATTTCCTGTTACACGTGTTAAGATGACTTACTCTGTTTAGTTGTCTACAATCCTTTATGTATGTGGATTACAGCGTATTTACTTCTTATTGTCGATCTGATCATTTATTATAATCCACTTTATTTCAGATTATAGCCTATAAAACTGATAAGTTAATTTATACTCTTATTTGTTGTTACAGATCCTGTATGCTGATTCCAAGTGACCAGCAGCTAAGCGGTCAATCTCCCGCACGGATTATGTGAATAGCCTGTTGATTCCTGGAGTTGTACTTTAATTATTAACCTATCTGTGGATTGATGTGTGCTTAGTTCTGTGGATACTAATTGTTTACCTGGATCTGGGAACAAAATCATCAACCAATCAGGGGATTTTATACCTACAGGTAGGTGTATCAATAAGTTTTATTACTAGATAGCATGCATGTTGGTCTGGTCTGACTTTGGTAGATAATGTTGATGAACTGCAATAATTGGACTTCATATCCCCATATAGAGGCAACATTACCATGGTATAAAGCCCATTTTACCTCATCTGTATTAAAAATGTAACAACATTTTTCATTGGTCAATAACTACACAAACCTGCAAGAAATACAGGCCCCCCCCCCCCTAAATTACACACACACACTAATACACACCACACTCCTCTGCCATGCATAAACATATATCACATATTGTGTTTTGGAGATGAATAGACAAGCTAATTTGCATTCTAACTTTAACCGAGTAAATGTTTGTTGTTATACTGACATACTGATGTTTGTTGCGATGTCCATATCAGATTCAGCCAATAACTTGACGTTAACAGCTTCAAGTATCTCGTTTCATCATTTGACAATACATTTGTTGTTTGTTGTCCTTTAAATATGCTAATTTAAGTTTGAAATATGCATCATAAGATGTTTAGGAATAAGATTTTTATGGTTGAAATCTATTAAAAAGAAACACAATCTTGTTTTGCTCCAACTCTATACACTGGGGGTAAGTTGGATACAGAAAGTGCATTGAACCCTGAGAGAAATTGAGGTCATGTACATAAATTATAACAAGTGCATTAAAACCTCTCACATTGCAACAGGTCTAATATTGAGGGAACAACCCAATTGAGATTTTTGAGGTTACCTGACCATAGGTCATGGTAACCTATTGATAGCCTTTTGTCCGTCGTCGTCCGTCATCGTGCGGCATGCGTCGTGCGTTAACTTTTCCTTGTGAACACGATAACTTCAGTAAATGTTAACTGATTTTGATGAAACTTTGTATACAGCCATATATTAATAAGATCTTGGACGAGTCCAAAAATACGAATTATTGGACAGACACTTACAGAGTTATTGCCCTTAGTAATAATATTATTATTGGACCTTGTGAACACGAGAACTTGAGTAAATGTTAACCGAGTTTGATGAACCTTTGTATGCAGCCATATATCAAAAAGATCCCGGACTCTAAATGGAAATTATTCGACAGTAACTTACAGAGTTATTGCCCTTTGTAATAATATTATTATTGGACCTTGTGAACATGATAACTAAAGTAATTATCAACCAAGTTTGATGAAACTTTGTATGCAGCCTTATATCATTAAGATCTCGGATGGGTTGGAAAATGGGAATTATTTGACAGTCACTTACAGAGTTATTACCCTTTGTAATAATATTATTACACTATTTTGTATTGGACCTTGTGTTCACGATAACTTGAGTAAATATCAACCAAGTTTGATGAAACTCTGTATGTAGCCTTATATCAATAAGATCTCGAATGAGTTTGAAACTGGGAATTATTTGACAGTAACTTACAGTGTTATTGCCCTTTGTAATAATATTATTATTGGACCTTGTAAACACGATAACTTGAATAAATGTTGACGGGGCTAGTTCAATGAAACTTTGTCCGGTAATTATTTGACGGTAACCTGCAGAGTTATTGCCCTTTATCATTATATTTTATATTTGTCCCTGTGATGTTGATTGACATTATATATACACAAGAATAGATGTAAATTCATGTGGTACACTTTTTTTTTCATTCATGATGCATTTTTGCTACTAACAAGGTGCTATTAAAATTTTGTGCCTTATTTAATAAATCATTGATTTACGCTTTTACTTGTTTCTTTTTACCAAGAACAGAAGACATACAGTTACCAAGTTTGTTCAAAACAGTCACACTCATTTATTTCAGTTATCATGTTCACAGGGTCCAACAATAATATAATTACCAAGGGGAATAACTATGTAAGTTATGGTCAAATTGGTCCGGTATTCAAACTCATCCAAGATCTCATTGATACAAAGCTGCAGACAAAGTTTCATCAAAATCGGTTCATATTTACTGAAGTTATTGTGTTCACAAGGAAAAATTAATGGACGATGCAGCAAGGTCACTCGGACCGACGAAAAGTATGAATTGGCCCCTGGATGACCGTCCTAATTTGAATCGAATGTCAGGTGACCGTTAAGGCCCATGGGCCTCTTGTTTAGTAATCTGGAAAATCATCTATGAAAATTTATTCTTTTTCCGTAATTTGCAACAGAACTGGTGACTAGGAGTGCAGTTGTAGCCATTGTTTAGTGCAGTGTTTAAAAGTTACTGTGGTGAATTTATGATGGAGAAAGCTTTATCGCTCACCTTAAAAAATGTTTTGCAAAATAAAAGGTTTGGCCTCCATAATGGAGGAGATTTACAAGCTAATCTCGGGTCATGGAGTTCTCTGATGTATCTGATGAGTATTTACAGGGAATTTCTTAGTTCTCAGAAACAGTGAAATCCCTACAATTAATTTTCAGCTTCTAAAATAACATCTTTCCATTTTTGTTTACATTACGAACTCCATCAAAGTTTAATGTAGCACACTTGATACATAAAGAATGATTTATTACAAAATAGAAATTTTAAATGTTTTACAAACGTTTGGTAATTTTCACCACTTAAGTTTAGGAGTTTGTAGCTGCTGAAATGTTGCGATTTTTGTGCCTTATCTGTTCACTTTTAACAGTTTATCAGAGTGTTAGATGGTATCATTTGAACTTGCGCTATGGTAGAACACATAAAATGATGCTCCGCTAGGCATTACTTTGTATTACTGATTGTAGAAGATGTAGCCCTACCTGACAGGTAGGTAGTAGTGATGCCCCCAGCTATGTAAACTGTTATATCAGTAGGTAGCATATGTTCCTCCCTTCGATGTTATATCTTGTGATAATTAAAGTAGACCGTGTGTAATGTCATTTATAGTTTCCGGGGTGTAAGAGCTATTAACTGATTTTTTTATAGACTACACATAGTTTCTTGTTTTCTTTTACCTATTTTAGTTACACTGAGACACCTGTTCTAGTAACACAGGTACACCTGACCTAGAAACACAGGGGCATCTGATCCAGTTACACATGGACGTCTAACCTAGAAACACAGTGACACCTGACCTAGTAACACAGGTTACCTGACCTAGAAACACAGTGACACCTGACCTAGTAACACAGGTTACCTGACCTAGAAACACAGTGACACCTGACCTAGTAACACAGGGGCATCTGATCCAGTTACACATGGACGTCTGACCTAGAAACACAGTGACACCTGACCTAGTAACACAGGTTTCCTGACCTAGTTACACAGTGACACCTGACCTAGTAACACAGGGACATCTGATCCAGCTACACAGGGACATCTGACCTAATAACACAGGTATACCTGACCTAGTTACACAGGGACATCTGACTTCGTTACACAGGTATATCTGACCTAGTAACACAGTGACACCTGACCTAGTAACACAGGTATACCTGACCTAGTTACACAGGTATACCTGACCTAGTTACACAAGGACATCTGATTCAGTAACACAAGGACATCTGACCTAGTAACATAGTGACATCTGACCTAGTTACACAGTGACACCTGACCTAGTAACACAGGTATATTTGACCTAGTTACACAAGAACAACTGATCCAGTTACACAGGGACATCTGACCTAGTAACACAGTGACATCTGACCCAGTAACACAGGTATACCTGACCTTATTACACAGTGACACCTGACCTAGTAACACAGGTATACCTGACCGAGATACACAGTGACACCTGGCCTAGTAACACAGGTATACCTGACCTAGTTACACAGGGACACTTGACCTAGTTACACAGGTATACCTGACCTAGTTACACAGGGATATTTGACTTTGTTTCACAGGGACACACCTGACAGAGTTACACATGGACATCTGACCTAGTTAAGCGAGAACATCTGACCTAGTAACAAAGGTTAATATTCCTAGTTACTCAAGGCACTAAGGTTATCATGTCAAGTTTAGTCACAGTGGCATGTTGTCTGTTGTCCATCTGTCAATCATCAACTTCTTCCTTTAAAACACTACAGGTACAGAATGTCAAATTGTTACAGATCATCCCTGGGTCAAGGAAACTGAAAGTTGTTTAACTAAAGGGTGTTGTCCCCTGAAGGATAGGGGTGCAGAGGTGGGGGCAAAAAAAGGAAAATAGATATTTATATTTCGAAGACACTTGAGTCCTTAAGTATAGGTGAAGGAGGTTTGACCTTATTTGGCAAGGAACATCCCTGTGTCAAGGGAACTCCATGTTGTATAATGAAAGGATGTGGCCTGCCCTGAGGGGCAGGAGGGACAGACTTAAAAACGGAAATGATATAGACTTTATTTAAGAAGGTATACTGTAATAAGATTACGGTATTTAAGAGTATAACATGTTTTAAGGGGTATATAACTGAAGTTAGGGGAAAGCTGGGTCTTTTGTCCAAGAATAAGTTTTTCTTAAAGGGATACTGTGTGTATTTTAGAGGTATACTGTACTACTAGTACTTAATCAAACTTATTGGAAAATGCTTATTAAGGGGTACTGTATATACTACGTTTAAGGGTCCCCGTACCACTGCCTAAAACTGCAACAATGCAATGGACACTGTTTTCCCAGCTTGACTACATCTTTGATAAATCATTTCTGAAAAAGAAACCATACCTTGCTAGACTTTAATAAAAAAAAAAAAAAAAAAAAAGTGAACAACAACAACAGTGAACAACATCAACAACAGTGAACAACAACAACAACAGTGAACAACAACAACAACAACAGTGAACAACAACAACAACAGTGAACAACAACAGTGAACAACAACAATGAACAACAACAACAGTGAACAACAACAATGAACAACAACAACAGTGAACAACAACAACAATGAACAACAACAACAGTGAACAACAACAACAGTGAACAACAACAATAAACAACAACAACAGTGAACAACAACAGTGAACAACAACAACAATAAACAACAACAGTGAACAACAACAATGAACAACAACAGTGAACAACAACAACAGTGAACAACAACAACAGTGAACAACAACAGTGAACAACAACAACAGTGAACAACAACAACAGTGAACATCAACAACAGGGAACAACAACAACAGTGAACAACAACAGTGAACAACAACAACAGTGTTGAGAGTGTAAAAGGACCATTGACTACTTTACTTGTCTACGAGAGTGTCCTTGTAAATATATGTTCTACAGTTATATCTAAAATAAGGGGGGTTACTGGTAGATACAAAAAGTCCCAGTGCAGTGGGAAAAGGATCATTAAGAGGTATACTGCCTTAGGGTACCAGAGTACTGTACTGTATTTGTTCAGCCCTGAAGAAATATTGTTAAGTTAGAGAGTTCCACTTCTTTTCTTCTTTATACAGGCCCTGAAAAGTTATTTTCCTGATAATTCTTTTTTTGGTTGGCCTATTGAGGGAGTAAGGACTTTCAGAAAAAAAAATCATAGTAATATTGCAAAAACGTTTGAACTTAATATATATCATGATATGTAGCATATAGTGGAGTAGAAAAGCTCCCTACTTTATAATAAAAAAGTCTTTGGGGTTCATAAACTCAGATGCTGGTCGGTCTGTGAAAAAATAGTATTTACTTCATGTTTAACTCTTTGCTTTGGTAAAGGGCAAGCTACTCCAAGTCTGAAAAAATGCCATACAAATAAGAACTCTTCTTAAATGGAAATAAACATCAGCACTGGAACACTCCACCTTAAAAGGATACTGTATTTAAGGGTACCTTGTACTGTATTTGTTGAACCCAGAGTCGGTGTATATTAAAGGGACTATATTTAGGAGGAATATGGTATTTAAGGGTTCCTAGTACTGTATTTTTAAACATGAACACTGGATAGGTCCCAGATGGACAATCATTTTGTGGATGAAATGGAGAAGAAACATAACAAGTTTAACACATTACCAGACCACAGACTGGTGAGATGGACCTATGGAGGGGTACCGTTAACATAATTTACCCTAGCAGTCTAGCTTCTCTCCCCTGATCCATGACCCATTAACGTCACAGTATGATCCTGCAGGAATGTTGATTTACCATCCAGAAACTCATTATTTGACATTCTGTCTACTGCTGTGAGGTATTTTATAACACATATACATTCATTGTCAGTTATCAGATGTATGTCGATGTGTTAAAACATCACTTGGCTTTGCTTCGTCTTTCAATTTGATTTGGATTGAGTTTTACCCTGAGCTCTGTAGAATCGATACACATGGTATATAAACTTGCGGATTTAATGCTGAACACTAGAATCAATAGTAGAGTTGCGTCTCGATTACATTGCCTTTGAAATGAGTCATCACGTTAAATGTCAATGTCTCACCTATGTTCTATTCTGCAAGGTTTTTAAAAAATACATTCTTAACTTTTGTGAATGCTGGTGTGGTCTTTTGACAGCCATTTTGATATATCCGGGCCTTGGGCAAGAACCCATTGCCTTCATCACCTGGGCGAATGTTCAACATTAAAGCCAAAAGTGAGGTTCTACCAAGCAAGGCGCTAGGAAATCAAAATGTAGTTAGAAGTAAAGAGAACTATAAAGATCTCAAATATTGCAATAGGTACAGCAGATTTATTTTGATCGCTTTTGTGTCCCCAAGTTGAGGGCAAAAAACAAGCAAGTCCCCAATTGTGGAGAATGTCCTGTACACACATGTACAACACAGAATCGTTCCACTGGGAAATGTCGTCTAAGATATATACACACATGTACAACACAGAGTCGTTCCACTGGGAAATGCCGTCTAAGATATCACATATTTTGTTAGAATACTAGTAACATTGTTGATGTTTCTATTACTGAATAAGTGCTTATTTGGGGGGATTCGGCCCCCGGTAAATTTTAGCGAATCATCAAATGATAAAGGATCACATTGATATATTGGTGCACTGCAATGTAGGTGATAGGAAACACTGAAACTGCAATTGGAACGATCACAATTTCACAAAATATTTGAAATGTAAAACGAATTAAAATCAGGATTCAAATACAAATCCTGTTAAAAGCAATGACAAAGCTTATATCAACTCAGATTGATATAACATTCAGGGATTAGTGTTGTACACTTATTTAACTCATTCACTCTTGAAGACACATTTGAAATCTTCCAACTCAAAGGTTGGAATAGTTCATTATGAAATTTCAGGGGTGAATAAATTAAGAGAAAGAGCATGTATTTAAACTCAAATGACAGAGGAAGTGTATCCATCTAGGATACTGAGTTACAATCATTGTAAGACATGGAGGCTGACTAGGAGATGTTAATGGTATATCTGTTACAGTGTATACTGTGTAAATCACACTCCTGGCTACATGCATTCTGTTGTCATTATTGAAAATTCTACATTGTAAATAATTGAATGATTGTCTGGCCATCAACATATGGGAGACATTCCCATGTAATCGTGGACTGCTAGCAAGGGCTGTAATTGATTGTAACAGTTTAGAAAGAAGATGAGAGTCAGTGATACCATCGAATTCTAGCCCAACTCCCTTGGGATCCCTCAAGGATTTCATTGGCCTTTGTTTTCTACCTCAACAGATGTCCTCTTGTTCAACACAATCATTGTAGTACCGACTAATGTGTCCCAAGGGGAAGCAATTACTTCTCAATTACAGTGGGTTTGAGATTGTGCATCCAGCATAAATGGGTTACATGGCAAACAATCTGAGACACAATACAGTGTTGTCATACCAGCAGTTAATGGTCCATTCTGTTGCATTAAAAGTGTGCACTGTCCTCGGTAAAAATAGCATGCAGAATGCCGTTACTAAGTTAACAGGTTCTGTACTTGTTTTTGCATAATATGTTTTTGCTACTATGCCAAAATTGTTGCCAGAGGTGAATGATCAGGTGGGGAGTTCTCTATGGAGGGTACCACACTTTTACAACAGTTACTCAACTAATGGGTTCTATACTTAAATGTAATATAATGTAGTTGTTGTAGCATTATAACATTACATCTCCAGGTTGTCATGTAGTTTTATCCCAATCTCAATATTTAATCATCCGGTAGGGATCTTTTCCACTTAAGAAATGAGGATATATAGTCATTCTGCTAGTTCAATCCTCCCTACCTAATATTTAATTGTTAACCTCTCCAGGAAATAAACATTAGGATGTATACCTAATACCTGCAGTGAATATTTAATTCTCAGAAGTCTTAACCTCTCAAAAAACGAGAATGATTTTGTTTTAACTTTTAATGTCATTATTCAATCCTAACATATAGGACTCTCTGGAAATTAAACTAGTTTGCATGTAATGAAGAAGTGTGTACCTTTTGCATAAATCATGCTGTTACCGTAGAAACGGTACACTTTTTTGGTGAGTTTGAATTTCTAACATGAATAATTGTCTAGCTTGTGCATAAATCCTTTTGGCAAAAATTATTGTGGAAAATGATAAATGGTTGAGGTTTTGTATTGGCAGTCATTACGTTATATAGTGTAGTGGAATCAGAACTCTCTGGGGAGTCATAGCTACAAACAGAATCAATACCAGTAATAGTGGGTTGGCGTAAATAATATATAGGATGCTATACTTAATGCTGTTTAGGACGATTCCTATGTAAGTCCACGGCAGCAGTGTTGTATACTAGCAAGGCTGATTGTCAGTGTACCTTCATGTCGCTCAGATCTCAAGGTCAAACACAGGTCAATGTTAATGATCAATAAAACTGATAAAGTAGTTAAGAACCACCGAGGTATCATACAGATAATACAATAGATCTCTTCAAAGTAGTTAGGAACCACCGAGGTATCATACAGATAATTCAATAGATCTCTTCAAAGTAGTTAAGAACCACCGAGGGATCATACAGATAATACAATAGATCACTTCAAAGTAGTTAGGAACCACTGAGGTATCATACAAATAATACAATAGATCCCTTCAAAGTAGTTAGGAACCACTGAGGTATCATACAGATAATAAAATAGATCTCTTCAAAGTCGTTAGGAACCACCGAGGTATCATACAGATAATAAAATAGATCTCTTCAAAGTCGTTAGGAACCACCGAGGTATCATACAGATAATTCAATAGATCTCTTCAAAGTAGTTAAGAACCACCGAGGTATCATACAGATAATTCAATAGATCTCTTCAAAGTAGTTAAGAACCACCGAGGTATCATACAGATAATTCAATAGATCTCTTCAAAGTAGTTAAGAACCACCGAGGTATCATACAGATAATAAAATAGATCTCTTCAAAGTCGTTAGGAACCACCGAGGTATCATACAGATAATACAATAGACCTCATCAGTTAAAGATATCCCCTATCATAAAGGAAACACGCTGTCAGACATTTTGCTGGTATTTTGTCCTTGACCAATCATCTGGCGGTTGCTACAGGAAACATTAAGACCAGTACATTGAGAGATATCAAAAGGGATATCACAGTAACATTTTTGTTGTTGTAGGTTTATATGAATGGAATTAGTAGAAAAAATTATGGTTTCCTATTGAATGTAATAAATTATATTTCACTCTTACAAGAGAATTTTCTGATATTTACACTCTTGGAAAATATTGGTCCAGATTTCTAGTCGGATGCTCTACCACTGAGCTAAAGGGAAATTACCTCTAGCTGAAGCTAGAAGGCGCCCTTAATCCTATATACAATTAAAACCTGCTTCACTACTCCCCCTTTTTAAATGTGTTTGCCCTCAGACACCATTTGTAACAGGAAAGAATAGTGTGCTTCCACCGGAGATTGAACCCTCGATCTCCAGGTTCCCAGTCGGACGCTCTACCACTGCGGGAAATTCCCTCTAGCTCGAAGCTAGAATGCGACCATAATCCTATGTACAATTAAAACCTGCCACACTTGTAAAACATTTATGGTATACCATGGGAAACCATGATATACCGGTATCCTTTATATCTGTATGTCTGTGTGTAAAGAATGTATGATTTATTCCATTCCATTTCTTATGCTTTTCAGGTAGGATGTTTCACAAGAGGACAAAGAGAAGACATTCCAAACAAGACCTATAGCGGTCAGTCAGATAGTGTTTAAACATGTCATAAGTAAGTGTTGTTTGTTTTGCTGTTTAATTATTGTCCAATTCCATACAAAACGTATAGCCGAGTATATACAGAGTTAGGGCCCTTTGTACATATTTGAAAATGCAGTTTGTCAGGAAACTGGGTGCTTGCAATACTTATCCTTGTTGGTACTATTACCTATTACAGTAGATTTCGCTTATTATCACTTCTGATTTGCCAGATGAAAATGTGATGTTAACTGGAACATGACATTAAGAGAAAATGTGTTTTTCTGACCATTTCAGGTGTCAAAACCCGGAAATGACCGTATTTAAATGTCCAAGTGATATGGTATTACAAAGAAGTTAGTTTAATAAAAAAAAATGTAACTAACGCAACTTTCTTTATTATCAGTGAAGTAATCGCTTGTTATTAGATTTAAATTTGCAGCCAAAATACTTGCTAAATTCCGGTGAAAATGACCTTCGATCGTATGTGACCAAATAAGCCTAGATCGACATAGCTGTCGGCTGCTAGTGTATAATCTGCTCCGTAGTAAGTCATAAAGAATGTCATGTTAGTACAAATTTACCTTAATCTTTGCATTGCTTTGATTTTTAAAACATCTTTGTAAATAAGGTAATTATGTACAATTGTAGTTGGAACTCTTTCAGTCCATAAATAACACTATAGGTGTTGAAGTTTTTGTGGTAGTAGGAAACCAATTTCAACGTCTAAAAATTGGAGATATTCTAGTGTGGCAGTTTTATTAACTAAATCTATTTATTGAAGGGGAATTACCCAAATCTATTTATAGTAGGGGAAATCTATTTATAGTAGGGGAAATCTATTTATAGTAGGGGAATTACCCTAATCTATTTAGGGAAAGGTTTATAAATATTATAGTTTTTTACGACTTTCAAATTTTTCACATTTTACACAAACTATGAAGTTAATCAAAAATTATTTTAAATCTTACAATTTTCAAAAATCTTCTCTAATATTTTCAGCCACACAGATTCATTCCTTCATCAGTTGTTCTTCGCAAAGACAAACAAGATGGCTGCATTCCAAAACCTCGTACCTACATTGCTTTTATTTATAAATATTCCGTCTTCTCTGCTGGAGAGAATAGGTAAGTGTGGTGTCAGACAGACTATAGGTGAACCGATTGATAGAAATATGTAAATTAGAAAAGAAGCAGAGGAGTTTGCTCATTATTAGAAACGAATATGATAGCAATATGAATACCTTAGAAATATACGAATATCAGATTAATTTCATGAGTTACTGATTCCTAACTTGTTCGATAGACTACAAACATTGGTTACATTTGAAACCTAATTTTTTTTAAAAGCATCTTGATTATATTGTCTTCGATCCTTTCATGTGTGCAGACCTTAAATGTTTCTCTACCAGTGATGTTAAGATGAGGGAAAAATAGTGCTTGCTGATAGTCATTGAGTCTCCAAAACTGATTATATATGTGATGTTGATTGTCTATGACCTGACGTCTGCCAACTTTTGTTCTTGAAGTGGACCGTCCACCCCAAGTGATCCAGCAACCGAGCCCCATTCCGTACCGGGACTGCCCCGAGTGTACCCAAGGCGACCGGGTCCTCGTATACTTTAAAGTGGGTGACACAATAACCCTGACCTGTCAGGCCAGTGGTCGGCCTGCACCAGAGTAAGTACACAATAACCCTGACCAGTCAGGCCAGTGGTCGGCCTGCACCAGAGTAAGTACACATTAACCTAACCTGTCAGGCCAGTGGTCGACCTGCGCCAGAGTAAGTACACAATAACCCTGACCTGTCAGGCCAATGGTCGGCCTGCACCAGAGTAAGAACACAATAACCCTGACCTGTCAGGCCAATGGTCGGCCTGCACCAGAGTAAGTACACAATAAACCCTGACCTGTCAGGCCAGTGGTCGACCTGCGCCAGAGTAAGTACACAATAACCCTGACCTGTCAGGCCAATGGTCGGCCTGCACCAGAGTAAGAACACAATAACCCTGACCTGTCAGGCCAATGGTCGGCCTGCACCAGAGTAAGTACACAATAAACCCTGACCTGTCAGGCCAGTGGTCGACCTGCGCCAGAGTAAGTACACAATAACCCTGACCTGTCAGGCCAATGGTCGGCCTGCACCAGAGTAAGTACACAATAAACCTGACCTGTCAGGCCGGTGCTCGGCCTGCACCAGAGTAAGTACACAATAACCCTGACCTGTCAGGCCGGTGGTTGGCCTGCACCAGAGTAAGTACACACCCTAACCAGTCAGGCCAGTGGTCGGCCTGCACCAGAGTAAGTACACAATAACCCTGACCTGTCAGGCCGGTGCTCGGCCTGCACCAGAGTTAGTGCACACCTTGACCAGTCAGGCCAGTGGTCGGCCTGCACCAGAGTAAGTACACACTCTAACCTGGTCAAAGAAAGTGCCCTGACCCTACAGTTACAAGGTGTATATCAAAACTAAAATTAAGGGGGGGGGTTACTGTTTGCAAGAAAAACAACATTGTTGTGAGACAGTTATCCTTCATATACATATCTTTTCTGCACCTTAGGATTAGCTTATATTCATGATTAGCTGAATTTGGTTGGTTCCTGACATCAAAATCTGACCAATCGCAAGGCTGATAGTTATATACTTTATAGATTATCAAAGTACCACTCAGATATTAAAGCCAGTCAATCCTACCATTTAGCTGCAAAGTGATTCACCTTTATCATTAACCCTTTAAGCACTGTAGACAATAATGGACTCATCCAGATCAATGCGTGGTAGAGTCTACTAAAGTTACATAGTGTGAAAGGGTTGATGGAAGCATTGGTCTGAGATCAAAGGTATGCAGGATTCTGTAACAGTTTCTAGACTGGTAAACTTGGATTATCAGCAAGATGGCTCATCACAAAATCCAAGGGTGCAGACCACTTATGTATATTGAGAGTGTTATCCTGGGATTATGTATATTGAGAGTGTTATCCTGGGATTAGTAGATAAACATGTGTCTAGCCACACATAGGAGTATAATGATACGATATGTGTCAGAACATTTACCCAGTTACGTACACTGAAATGTTGTTTCTTATTCTGCAGATACACATGGACGAAAAATGGAAAAGAAATAGACTTTGATGCCATAGAATATATATCACCTACTACAAATATCACACGGATAGTGTCAGAAGTGTCGGGTGGTTCATTAACAATTGATGAGACATCAGACTACGACGTGGCAATATACCAGTGTTCTGCATACAACAGACTAGGTAGATCACTGTCAAAAAAGGTTCAGATGATTAAAGCCGTAAATGAACCGTTTCCCTCAGTGACAGTTCCGAAGAGAGTGAGTGTTGTCGTGGGGAACTCGGCGACGTTAACTTGTAGTCCACCTCTAAGTATTCCCAAAGCAATAGTGTACTGGACCGACACCAATGACCCGTCCAGTGCAGGGTCAAGGATCAAGCTGGATGACCGAGTCGTCATGGATTATTCTGGTAAGTGTAAGGAAATAGGATCACAAGTTGTACCAAATTATATAAATGACTCTTTAAATAAACTTTAAATTGATACATTTGTTGGAAACATTGACTCCGTGAATAGGTAAGGATTAAATTATAAATTTTACATTGTAATGACTATATATCTACCTAAAACCATGTAATTGCAGGCCATTTAATTACAAAAAAAATTAAGAGTTTCTTATAAAAATCAAGACAGTAGTTTGCAGTTTGAGTTTTTAAAAAAAATTAGAAATACCAATCCTCCCTTAAAAAAATAAAAGCTCATTTAACTTTTATAATTTTCAATTAAAATTTCATAAAAATGTTTAAAAATATAGTGATGAATTCTTGTTGTTTATTTTTCTCAGGAAAGTTGCATTTTGCCAATGTGATACCATCGGACAATAGGAATGGCGAGGCCTACGTGTGTAACGCCTGGCAGAAAAGTGTCTTTAGATCCTTCCTTCAGGGCGACGACAAAATCATACAAACCAAAGGATGTAGGTTTTCTCCCCTTCTCAAAATAACTTTTGTTTTCTTATTTGATTGATTCTTATTTGATTGATTCAAAAACACATTGAATCATTTATCGATTTTTATCAGGTTTCTATGTCTGTGGTAAGATTAAGATCATCAATGATAAAATCAACTTTATCTGGGTTTTTTGGGGGGGTTCAATTGTCTGGAATTTCATTTCTCTAACATCACACAGAGATATCCACACTTTTATTCAGGAAAATGTGTATCTGTCTAATGCTAGGGTAAAGACATTGAGATTCCCCTGTCATAACAATCGCATGGCATCATGTCATAACAATCGCATGGCATCATGTCAACAATACCTTGACATCATGTCAACAATACATTGACATCATGTCAACAATACTTTGACATCATGTCAACAATACCTTGGCATTATGTCAGCAATACCTTGACATCATGTCAACAATACCTTGACATCATGTCAACAATACCTCGGCATCATGTCAACAATACCTTGACATCATGTCAACAATACCTTGGCATCATGTCAACAATACCTTGACATGTCAAAAATACTTTGGCATCATGTCAACAATACCTTGACATCATGTCAACAATACCTTGACATCATGTCAACAAATACCTTGGAATCATGTCAACAATACCTTGACATCATGTCAACAATACCTTGACATCATGTCAAACAATCACAGAAGATAACTCATTGGACTTACAGGAAGACCAGCAGCAATCAACCCTTGTGTTTCATGTAATCTTCACTTGTACTTTAGGTGGGAGATCAATAATCATTCCCCACCTTGGGGATAAGACTTAAACAAAATGTCAACCCAAGGATCAAGATTCTTAAATGTGTAGTCGAGGCTCTTATATTCGTCTACACAACAGCTGTGCATGGTCATAGGACGATGTGTCCACATTCACTGCTGCTGGGACTAGGATGTCAAAGTAAAGGGAACCAGAAATGGCTGCAGTAAAATTGACCATGATCTTCATCAATTGTAGATGTAACTATAAATTTATTGTCCCATGCTTTCACCGAAACGGGGGATATTTATATGGGTTCGTCCGTCCGTCCATCTGTCTGTCCGTCCATCTGTCTGTCCGTCTGTCACGCTTTGTTTCCGTGCAATAACTACAACAAATGTTAATCGATTTTCTTCAAACTTGGTCACAGGGTTAAATGCCAAGTTCAATCCACTTTCAGCGGACCCCATTTCGCGGAGTTATGGCCTCTTGAGTAACGAAAAATGTAATTATCTGCTGGGTTTTGTTTCTGTGCAATAACTATAACAAATGTTAACCGATTTTCTTCAAACTTTGTTTGATTTTGATGAAACTGGTATATAGGGATATTAGGGAACTGCTAATTCAACTGCATTGGTTTCGTTGCCATAGCTACCACACAGAGGCTTCTGATTGGTTGAAATTTAGATATTGTTAAGATTTTGATGAAAATTTGTATATAGGTATATTTGGGGACTGCGAATAAAACCACATAGGTTTCGTTGCCATACCAACCACACAAAGGCTTCTTTTTGGCGGAAATTAAGATATTGTTTGATTTTGATGAAAATTGTTATTTGGGTATAAGGGGACTGCGAATTCAACCGCGTAGGTTTCGTTGCCATAGCAACCACACAGAGGATTCTGATTGGTCGAAATTTAGATATTTTGTTATTTTTATGAAAAATGGTATATAGGGGTATATAGGGGACTGGAAATAAAACCGCATAAGTTTCGTTACCATAGCATCCACACGGAGGCTTCTGATTGGTAGCAATTTAGATATTGTTTGATTTCGATGAAAATTGGTTTATAGGGTATTAGGGGACTGCAAATTCAATCGCATACGTTCCATTGCCATAGCAACTACTTAGAGGATTCTGATTGGTTGCAATTTAGAAATTGCTCAATTTCACTCAAATTTAGTATGTACATTGTATTGTAGGTGTACTATGGCAATGCGATCCCTTTCTGATGCATCTTTGTGACCATGGCGGCAGTTTGGGGGACATCTGTAATGGTCCCCCATTACAATTACCGTAAAAACCCATGTAATTTGCGCACCTGTGTAATTTGCGCAGGTACTTTTTGAGGCTGAAAATCGGGAAAAAAGCTTCTACTCGAATATTTTGCGCACCCAAAAAATCTGGGAAAAAAACGCTGTTCATTTATTTTTTTAAATATATTTCTAGNTATGTCTCAACAGCACGATACTCACATGTTTAAACCTAACCTCAATAATGTTAACCTACAATATTTCCTGCAAGCGGGGGATACAAATTCCACGAATTTGCTTGTTTTGTTGTAGCTATGGGTAAATTTCCAGTGAGTAAGATGTGGAACTCCAATAGAACAGTGACTGGACTCCTGGGTGAAACGGCAAAGTTCATGTGTATATTTGCCGGCAAGTAAGTGTGCAATGAAGTACTAAAACAATGGTTTTGTTTCATTCTTTCTGGTATGTATGTGGCACACATGTAATTCACATAAAGAAATTCTCACTGTGTAGCTGTAAGACAAGGCTTAAACCAATAAACAGTTCATATAAAAGCATTAAGTATATGTACATACGAGTGATTGAATTTTACATTAATTAAATTTTACATTAATTAATAATATAAATTTAAAAACAATTATTCCTTCCTCATTGGGTGGATCCTAGTAACCTAAGGTCGGTGATTTGAGATATTGACTCAACGTAACTACATTTTTGGAAACAGCAATTCAATATTATCATGTGATGTCACTTCAACTGCAATGACACTGTATATATATGCTGTCAACCAAGTTCTGTATTTTTCTCATATCAAATGTAACAATGACAGACTTGTATTTCAGTAAATATGTGGTTATTTGGCCCGGAAAAGTGCTATTGAGTCAAGATTGAGGTTAATATCTCTTCCACAGGTCCATGTAACCACATGTTTACCCAAACAGAATTCAATAATGGATAAATATCCTTTTGGGGAAAAAGATTGATGTTAATATAGTATCTTCTCCCCTTGGGGTAGCATCTGACTTGTTATATACCGCTTACAATTGGTTGTTTCAGTCCTACTCCTAAGATAATCTGGAAACACAGTGGCAGTCTCATGGAAAACACTGGACATGAGCTCATAATCAAAAACCTCAAATACAGTCACCAGGGAGACTACGAGTGTGAAGGGCAAAACAAGCTCTCCAAGGGCATCACGGTCACATTTTCTCTCACCATCCAGTGTAAGTCTCCCCATACTGACCTGTAGGTCAAAACAGAGCATATAAGTCACATGTTCTCTCACCGTCCAGTGTAAGTCACCCCTTACTGACCTGAAGGTCAAAACAAGCTCTCCAAGACATCTAAGTCACTTGTTCTCTCACCATCCATTGTAAGTCACCCCTTACTGACCTGTAGGTCAAAACAAGCTCTCCAAGACATCTAAGTCACTTGTTCTCTCACCGTCCAGTGTAAGTCACCCCTTACTGTCCTGAAGGTCAAAACAAGCTCTCCAAGACATCTAAGTCACATGTTCTCTCAATGTCCAGTGTAAGTCTCCCCTTACTGACCTGTAGGTCAAAACAAGCTCTGCAAGACATCTAAGTCACATGTTCTCTCACCGTCCAGTGTAAGTCGCCCCTTACTGACCTGAAGGTCAAAACAAGCTCTCCAAGACATCTAAGTCACATGTTTTCTCACCGTCCAGTGTAAGTCACCCCTTACTGCCCTGTAGGTCAAAACAAGCTCTCCAAGACATCTAAGTCACATGTTCTCTCCCCGTCCAGTGTAAGTCATCACCCCATACTGACCGGTAGGTCAAAACAAGCTCTCCAAGACATCTAAGTCACATGTTTTCTCACCGTCCAGTGTATAAGTCATATCCAGTATTTTTATAAAGAGTATTGCTTTGATAGTATCATTTGTACATATTCAATTATTATTGTGGTTGGTTGTGTATCCAATGATCTTCGTAATTAAATCAAATTATTTTTCATGAAACAATGGAATTATTTCAACATAATTTTCACTATCTTTCCAATTAACCAAATAAGGTATTGACTAGTAATAGTTAATACTCAAGACAACATTCCTGCAGTGTAGGATCTCAATTCAGTATATTTTATATATAAATGAAACTTGTTTTAATCCTACAGCGAAGCCATCTTGGGCTACACCACCAGTGAATCAGGACGTGGGAGTGACGGAAGATGCTACATTTCAATGTATACCACAGGGTCTACCTAAACCCACAGTGGAGTGGTTCATCAACGGCAAACCTATCAGTGGTCAGTACGTCAACTACCGTCCTAATCTGTTTGAATTCTATCAATACTAGAATTTAAGCCTAGCCTGCTAAAATAAGTAATTGCCAACCCATATTTAGGTTCCAGATTTAGCGAGACCAGAAAAGTCATGCAGCCATTTATAAACAATCCTCATAATTTTGCTGTGTACGATGCTTTGTAATAGCTAACTATGATAGATTTGGAGGCTGTTTTCATGGTGTTGGTTTGTCTAACTCATTCCATACATATTAATTAGTATATTTTCTTCGTTTTCAGAAGTACCAGCTACTCGGAGGACCCTAGCTAACGATGTACTGACATTCCAGAATTTAGATAAACAAGATTCTCAGGTGATACAGTGCCTAGCAACCAACAAACATGGCACCTTATGGGCAGACGTATACCTCAATGTCCTCGGTAACCAAATTATTCTCAATTAGAACCTTTTAAAAAGTTCACCATAATTAGAATCTGTAGAAACAATCAAATTGATGTGTTTTATCATTGAAATGAAGCTTTCAGTATATTCCTCCCTCTGTATGATCTCACACTCCTGTCTGACACCATTTGTGATAGTGCAGTTACTGGTGATGGCTTTTGTAGAGAAAATGAAGCTTTAAAAGAAACTAGACACGGGTCAATTGTTGGGGACCAGGTAGCTGGATTGGTATAGCATCCATCTAGAGTTCAGAAGGTCTCAGGTTTGAACCCTGGTCTGGAAATCACAAAATTAAAGAAAAGAAATAGGAGTAAAGCATATAACTGAAGTGTTACTTTATTTGTCACTATGTCATTTAAATCTGCTTTAACTCATTCGCCCCTGAAGACACATTTGAAATCTTCCAATTCAAAGGTTGGAATAGTCCATTATGAAATTTCAGGGGTGGATGTTAAAATAAAGGTAACAGGTACCAACATCTCCTTCCAATAATCTGCATACACCTCTGATGTATTATTGCAGATGCAGACACTATACTATATTATTACCACTGTAATGACAATGAAATATTTGTTCCTTTTCAAAAGAAAATTCCATGAAAATCACATGTTACCATGCATTTTGCAGAATTGTAGTTGTTTGAAATCTGAATGTTTGAAAATAGAAATAATAGAAAAGACAAAGACATGAAAGGTGGAGTCAAACTCGGGACCAATTCTAACGTCTACAGTTTATCAATCTTACCATACAGGAACTAAAGTACAAACACAGCATCAAGATGAGGCTCCAATTTATTGACCTATTATGAAAATAATCTGATTGGAACTCTTCATTGCAATTACAACTGATTCAGTGGTACCCTTTTCCTTAATTGAATCCAGCACATGTCACAACTGTCTGAAATCAACCCTCATTTGCTGCTTTTAAAATTCCAGCCTACGCACCTGAGATCACCAGTGGCCCCGGACAGCTGACCGTAGCTGAACGCCAGTCTGTGACCTTGACTTGTGTCAATGATGGAAAACCACAGCCTGTACTGACGTGGAACAAGGGTGCACAAATCCTTCGTGGGACCCGGTACACACAGACCGGATCGTCTATAACCATCGCAGTAAGATTCAAGCGTTTCAAAGTACTGCAAATTTGCAAATGAACTAATACTTTCTGAAAGACCTATGTTAATTTCTCTTTAAGGTGCAGCACTTGTGTACCATCTATCATCTGTTCTTCCTCTATCTCCCCTCAATCCATTATCCTTCTTCAGTCTTCCATCAAGGCCTTGTCCTTTGTCTCCCTTCATCCTTCTTTCCTTCGTCCATCACCCATCAATTCTGTCTCCTATCTATCCAGTTTCCTTTATCTGTCTATCCTTTTACCTTGTCTGTCTTCCCTTCATCCATTGTCCTTGGTCTGTCTTCTATCCTTCCTTTGTTTGCTGCCTTTCGTCCATCATTTGTCAATGGTCTGTCTTCCATTCATCCTATATCTTTAGTTTGTTTTCTTTCAGTTCTTTGTCCGTTGTATGTCTGCATGTCTTTTGTTTATCCTTTTTCTTTTGTCTTCTGTCCATCTTTTTCTTTGATCTTACTTCTGCCTATCAATCTTTGCCTATGGCCTTTCTTATATCCATCTATCTTTCCAGCTAGTTTTCTTGACCCTTAAGTACTCCAGGTCACTTACTTTGTATAGATTTTCAATATCCAGGATGACTTGGGTTTTTTTTAACATATGATATCATGATTGTATGAGTTGTTCCTTTCTTGAAGGATGTGTCCAGTGGGGATGGCGGCACCTACACCTGTGCGGCTACCAACGTTTACGGCACTAAATCTAGTACCGGCTCCCTAACAGTACGAAGTGAGTGTAAGATAACGTGAATACTAATTCATTCAAATGATATCATTTGAGACCCCAATTCAATGTAAATTCTCATTGTGTTAGACTTATATCCATAACAAATCAGGGATATAATGAACGGATTATACAAGTAATTACGGCGTCATCATAAACGTGTTTGTATTCCTCACAAAACAAGCCGTATCTGGCCATACATTGGATCATTCCTCACAAAACAAGCCGTATTCAGCCATACATTGGATCTTATTCCTCACAAAACAAGCCGTATCTGGCCATACATTGGATCCTATTCCTCACAAAACAAGCTGTATCTGGCCATACATTGAACATTCCTCACAAAAAAAGCCGTATCCAGCCATACATTGGATCTTATTCCTAACAAAACAAGCTGTATCTGGCCATACATTGAACATTCCTCACAAAATAAGCCGTATCCAGCCATACATTGGATCTTATTCCTAACAAAACAAGCTGTATCTGGCCATACATTGAACATTCCTCACAAAATAAGCCGTATCCAGCCATACATTGGATCTTATTCCTCACAAAACAAGCTGTATCTGGCCATACATTGAACATTCCTCACAAAATAAGCCGTATCCAGCCATACATTGGATCCTATTCCTCACAAAACAAGCTGTATCTGGCCATACATTGGATCATTCCTCACAAAACAATCCGTATCTGGCCATACATCGGATCCTATTCCTCACAATTTCCTCTCAATTGTTTTTTTCAGAGAGAACACGCATCGTCTCGGCTCCTCTGGACAAAAATGTCACGTATCCGAGCCCAGTGATCTTCAAATGTCAAGCATTCACAGACAGTGCAGAATCTGATAATCTTAAAATCAGTTGGCTGAAAGATGGCGTTCCCTTTGATATAAGTGATCCTAACATTGAGATGAGGCCGGATGGCTTCAAGATCAAGGAGACATCTAGTGCTTACACTGCTAACTATACCTGCTGGGCACACAATGGCATAGACGAGGCCAAGTCTGTGGCCCAACTCAAAGTCAGAGGTCAGTCGAAATGCACCCAAGTCAAGGTTGTTGGCCATTGTCAAGGTCGAATAATTCCAGAATTCATTTCAAATAAAAAAGTATATGGTTGATGATTAAAAGCAATAGATTGACTGAGATTATATATACTTGTGATATGAATATGAGAATTGACTAAATTGAAAGGATACTTGAGACAACATATTAATGATCAGCTATTATTTTAACCTTACAGCACCCCCAGATCCATCCAGCAACATCTTTATCCTTAACTGTGATGCCAGGAGTGTATCGCTGCGCTGGACAAAGTCCAGGGATAATTTTTCACCAATACAGCGTTACGTGGTAGAACAACACAACGGATTCAATCCTGGCCAGTGGAAGTTTCTGGCTGAAACTGACGGTACTGTGACAGAGGTCAATGCTGAACTCTCCGCATGGGTGAATTACACGTTTAGAGTAAAGGCGGTCAATGATTTCGGGGAAGGAATGCCATCTGACCCAACAGGTACTGTCTGTAGAACGCAGAAAGATTATCCTGACAGGCACCCAGAAAATGTCCACATCATCGACAACAAGCCAAACTTCCTCATCGTGGAGTGGGATGTAAGTCTTAGCTAAACAAACAAAAACGTAGCCAATGTTTTTTCTTCCTCATCGTGGCGTGGGATGTAAGTCTTAGCTAATCAAACAAACCGTAGCCAAAGTTTTAACTAATATACCTAGGTCAATTTCAAAATTATTAAATACAAGAACTATTTTGCTGTTGAACTTTGTTAATCAGGAAAAATCTAAATTTGGACACTCATTAATAGATTTCCATAACAGATTTGTAATCATTAATCCAAACTAGGCTCCGGATCAGGAGGAAGGGATTAATCAGGAACAGAGGGTCATATTCATATAAAAAGTAAAGTTAAAAAATCTGCGTTCTAGAAAGTTTGTGCAGGCATCAAATGCCTATAATAAAGTAAATTCTTTGTCAAATTTTCACAGACATGGCTTGAGTATGCACTATAATTCTTGCTATCTATAAAGTTTACATTTTCTGTGATGTCCTGTTAAAAGATTAAAAATGGAACTTAAGTAAAAAAAATCATCAAAAAGATCAAAAGTCATATATTCTGCAAAAGTGAATGTTAAGGTTCTTCGATTCTTTAACAGTAAAACTGTACAATTGATGTTAAATATGTCAAAGTCTCTCCCTTGTTGATGTTGACGGTGTCGGTTTGGCCAGACTCTCCCTTGTTGATGTTGACGGTGTCGGTTTGACCAGACTCTCCCTTGTTGATGTTGACGGTGTCGGTTTGGCCAGACTCTCCCTTGTTGATGTTGACGGTGTCGGTTTGTGTTTAAGGCCATGGACCCTATTCTACACAATGCTCCCGGGTTCCAGTACAAACTGACGGCCAAGAACAAGAAAACCGGCTTCACCCATCAGTTTGTCTTTGATGACTATCTGGAAACGCGTAAGGAAATTCAGACTGGTGACGTGTTCCAGGAGTATGAGATCTACGTTATGGCTGTCAATGAAATAGGCAATGCAGTGCCCGTACCACTGACCAATATAGGACACTCCGGAATGTCAGGTAAAACCTTTTAACACAAAAAAATGGGGGGGTGACCGAGAAAAAAACCTGCAAAAATCTAGTCATTGAAAAAGATTCAATGCAGTACCCATACCACTGACCAATATAGGACACTCCGGAATGCAATATAGGACACTCCGGAATGTCGGGTAAAACCTTTTAACACAAAAAAATAAGGGGGGGGGGGGGGGGCAAAGAAAAAAACCTGGAAAAAATCCAGTCATTGAAAAAAAAAAAAATCCAAATGAGCTTCCAGACATTTGAATCTTTTTGGTTTATTGTTCAAAAGTGCATGCACTATTTGTATGGTATCCATATACCATAAATATTCATGTAAAAAGCACACTTTTAAGGGGAAAATGACAATACAAATGTATCAAGAAAGGGCCTGTCCACTATACACGAGAACAATCCAAAACAAGATCTGAGTTGCAACCATTTATCATGAATTTTTCATGGATTTTCAGAAATGTTTTGAAAAATACTCGCAGCATTTAACTGATAATATTTTTAATAATAATTCCTCATAATTAATAGCTATTTTACTATGACAAAAAGTTGTAATTTAAAGTCATATTACACGATAAAATGAGATAAATAAACGGTACTAACAGTACAGTTCGTCTAAATTTCAGGTCTCTTCAGCATACTTACTTTAAAATACCCTCTTTTGAATTCTTCCTACATGTTTGTAGCTATGTAGCTATTTTGGAAGGACAACAGAATGTATTGCTCTTGTTGACAAATACTTTCAGTGCCTATAGTGGTCCCAGGGAACTTTGAAGTTGACCCTGACGTAAATATGACATATGATGATGCAGGATTCCGCTGGGATCCAGTCGACGACAGTCCAGAGTCAATGCAAGGCAAATTTGAAGGCTACAAGGTCAGAAAAGAAAATCTTCAGATTCCTCTCTCGTCAAACAAGTTATTTTTCTTTCTGTTAATAAACCTCATTATTGGTGGTGTAGAAACTGATGTTTTGGTACTGTCAGTTCCCTAGAATTTTGTAGTTGTTGTGGATGACCACATTTTGTCTGAGCTTAGAAGATTTTTTTACTAAGTAACATTTACTTTATAGATTCGATACTGGACACCAGATAATCCCGACAAGAAATTTGAGGTCATTGTGCGCAAAGAGTTCTTACAAGGGGAGAGAAGCAGGAGGGCAACATTGAAGGAGACAGCCAGGGTGAAAAATCTACCAGCGTACACCCCTCTTCTGCTGGACGTGGTCGCCATCAACACTTACTTCGAATCCAACAGCAGCAATGTGCTGAACCTGACGACACCAGAGGGCGGTATGTGTCATTATCACCTTACACATTATTGATCTGCGGCAAACACATTGTACTTCCTCAGTCTTGCGCTTGCTGTGGGCATAGTTATTTTAGAGCAGTCAACATTTTGCAAAAAGGACAGAAATTGATGTTATTTTAAATTTGCACATCAACATATTTTGGTTACTTTTCCATGGCATTTGACTTTTGATTCAATTAGATCTGATTTGGTTGTGTCACATATGTAGGTAGATACAAAGTCGGAGGTTTATTCAGTATACAGACTCTGCTGTCAGGGAATTAACTAGTTTAAATTGGATAACTTTGTCTTGAAATTTCACTTCTGTGTTGACAGGTCAATTTGTAATCATTAATTAGAACAAAATTTGTTTGAATGTGTCAAAAATTAACAAAAAGCTTGAACTAGTATTAAAGAAATAATCAAAATATATGTTTAGGTTCAACACACTATATTTTATTTTAGTTAACTTTCAGTCTTGACTTTTTTCTAACTTTTAGTACCGGACAAGGTGAGACGCCTGCGTGCCACGAGTCGTGGTGTGGTATATATCAAACTGTCATGGGAGGAACCAGAACGACCCAGCGGCAAAATTACTGGCTACGAAGTCTCGTATGAAGAAAGTAAGTCTTGCGGCATTAACTACAATAACGTGTAACATTAGAATCCTCCCTACAGCTTAGTTTATCTCAAATTATGGAAGATGTACAATATCACTCTTCAAAAATAAATTAACTCATCAACAGATTACCTCCTAACTGGTTTTACTGACACTGTCCTATTTATTAATATGTATTGCTATTCAGCTGAATTGTCAGGTTCCCTTTAAAGTCACGATTCAGATAGTTATTTTTTATTTATTAAATTGGCTTCAGCAAAATTTTGTATTTTGATTTTATATTTCAGTACATGGTCTGACATTGGGGAATACCATCATATCAAACGATACAATCATTGAGTTAAATGGTGGACTCATCACAAGAGTTAACGGATTGAACGAGAATACACAATACAGAATCCATGTTCAGGCAAAAACTGGCGAAGGACTTGGGGAGGACATGTACATTGATGTAATGACAGCGATACCTGGTGGTGAGTTTCTACAGGCCAAGGGAGGTAACCCTTACTAGGTTGGGTGCTGTCCAGCTATAGGGCCGCATTCGTTTATTACGATTCAAATGAAACATGAAAGGGGTTTTAAGGTTTCATGTGAGGTGCCTGCAGAACAGATCAGCAGAAAATCTAAGTTCCGTTTATCTTTTCTGTTTGTTTATTTTATCTATTTTTCTTATATACTTGTATTAAAGAGTTACTTTCCAATTTGATTTAAGAAGATTTTATAAGAATACATGAAATGAGGTCAACATGAACTTTAGGAACACTTCATGGTGAACACTTTTTACAACTGTAAAATCAGAGAAAACTGAATCTGGTATGTACTTTAATTTTAGATCCAGCTATTCCCAAGATTGACACGATCACCCCTCACTTTGACGCAATCAACGTGTCGTGGACGATCAACGCTAACCATGATCGCGCTGGCTATAACCATTACGTGGAATACAGGCGTCAAGGAAACAACAAGTGGAGCGAGATGCCCGGAGAGTTGATGAAGTCGTGGCAGCTGGTACCCAACCTCACATCTGGCGTCACTTATGAAGTCCAAGTGGTAGCGACCAGTGGACAGGAAATCAAGAGGAGTAGTATCCGCACTGTCGCCACGCTTGGGGCACAAGGTGAGTAAACTTAGGGCGCAGGGGATAGCCTAATGGGACAAAGGAGGTACATGTTTACATATGTGGAGAGGGGACACAGGAGGAGTAGTGTCCGCACTGTTGAAACATTCGGGGCACAAGGTGAGTAAACTTAAGGCACAGGGGATAGCCTAATGGGACAAAGGAGGAACATGTATACACATGAGGAGAGGGGACACAGGAGGAGTAGTGTCCTCACTGTTGAAACATTCGGGGCACAAGTTGAGTAAACTTAGGGCACAGGGGATAGCCTAGTGGGACAAAGGAGGTACATGTATACACATGATGAGAGGGGACACAGGAGGAGTAGTGTCCGCACTGTTGCAACATTCGGGGCACAAGGTGAGTAAACTTAGGGCACAGGGACAAAGGAGGTACATGTATACACATGGGGAGAGGGTACACAGGACGAGTAGTGTCCTCACTGTTGCAACATTCGGGGCACAAAGTGAGTATACTTAGGGCGCAGGGTATAGCCTAGTGGGACAAAGGAGGTACATGTATACACATGGGGAGAGGGTACACATGACGAGAAGTGTCCTCACTGTTGCAACATTTGGGGCACAAAGTGAATAAACTTAGAATGCAGGGGATAGCCTAGTGGGACAAAGGAGGTACATGTATACACATGGGGAGAGTGGACACAGGAGGAGTAGTGTCCTCACTGTTGAAACATTCGGGGCACAAAGTGAGTATACTTAGGGCGCAGGGGACAGCCTAGTGGGACAAAGGAGGTACATGTATACACATGGGGAGAGTGGACACAGGAGGAGTAGTGTCCTCACTTTTTTAACATTTGGGGCACAAGGTGAGTAAACTTAGGGCACAGGGACAAAGGAGGTACATGTATACACATGTGGAGAGGGTACACAGGACGAGTAGTGTCCTCACTGTTGAAACATTCGGGGCACAAGTTGAGTAAACTTAGGGCACAGGGGATAGCCTAGTGGGACAAAGGAGGTACATTTATACACATGGGGAGAGGGGACACAGGACGAGTAGTGTCCGCACTGTTGCAACATTCGGGGCACAAGGTGAGTAAACTTAGGGCACAGGGACAAAGGAGGTACATGTATACACATGAGGAGAGGGGACACAGGAGGAGTAGTGTCCTCACTGTTTTAACATTTGGGGCACAAGGTGAGTATACTTAGGGCGCAGGGGATGGCCTAATGGGACAAAGGAGGTACATGTATACACATGGGGAGAGGGGACACATGAGGAATAGTGTCTGCACTGTTGCCACGCTTGGGGCACAAGATGAGTAAACTTAGGGTGCAGGGGATAGCCTAGTGGGACAAAGGAGGAATATAGGAAGACAGATGGAGTATGCAGGGTTACAAATGTGGGACACAGATTGAGTATGCAGGGTTACAAATGTGGGACACAGATTGAGTATGCAGGGTTACAAATGTGGGACACAGATTGAGTATGCAGGACTATGAAAAAATATCTTTTTGTATACAAAGAAAATTGTCCAGGATGTCAACCTCATTTTAAGACAATGTTGTGTTTACAATTTTAGTTGCCTACACTCCGGAGGTATATGAAAGTCTATGGTTTATTATCATGCTGGTGGCCTTAGCACTCCTCATTATCATCTTTATCATCGTGTGCCTTGTAAAGCGAAGTCGGGGAGACAAATACCATGGTAAGTCACCCAAACTATATAGTTTCTATAGTTGACCAATGTAATAAAAAATAATGAAATGAATAACATAATATAAAAATCTTTTTACAAACTTTAAAAAGTAACAGAATATCAATTATTTACAGTACACTTAACACAATGTTGTTATTTACAGTACAAGAAAATGAAAGACTTAAAGGAATACCCCCAGAAGATAAGAAATCAGCACTTGTTAATGATTTTAATGAAAAGTAAGTATACCCCTATGTTTTCTATCCCTTCTGTTTTATTGTATAGTCTTGTATTCCTGTACAAAGACATTATACTAAGGACCTCCTGGTATGGGGATCACCTTTATAGTAGGTTGTCTCCCCTGAGCCAGTACGCGTGTGATAGATTTATCTTTATTAACAAAAGCTTTCAATTCTGTCTACTATTTAACTTGTAGTAGGTTATCTCCCCTGAACTAGTCTATAAGCTGGTTGTCTCCCCTGAACTCATCTATCTGTATTTATTAACAAAAGCTTAAACTCTGTAGTGGTTTTAGCTGCCTACCATTTTAATCAATATAGTTACTGCTTTAGACATCTCTTACTTCCAAGATTTACTACAACAATCTAATCCTGCTTAAAAGATTGTTAGTACTTCTTGCATTGCTATACATTTGTGGGTTAAATGTTACTGGGGATGATGTGGTGTCCAGTAGGGAGGGGTTAACAGATGGGAGGCTAGTATGTACTGGTATGTAGACTAGAGCTGGTGTGGTGTCCAGTAGGGAGGGGGTAACAGATAGGGAGGCTAGTATGTACTGGTATGTAGACTAGAGCTGATGTGGTGTCCAGTAGGGAGGGGGTAACAGATAGGGAGGCTAGTATGTACTGGTATGTAGACTAGAGCTGATGTGGTGTCCAGTAGGGAGGGGGTAACAGATAGGGAGGCTAGTATGTACTGGTATGTAGACTAGAGCTGATGTGGTGTCCAGTAGGGAGGGGGTAACAGATAGGGAGGCTAGTATGTACTGGTATGTAGACTAGAGCTGATGTGGTGTCCAGTAGGGAGGGGGTAACAGATAGGGAGGCTAGTATGTACTGGTATGTAGACTAGAGCTGATGTGGTGTCCAGTAGGGAGGGGGTAACAGATAGGGAGGCTAGTATGTACTGGTATGTAGACTAGAGCTGATGTGGTGTCCAGTAGGGAGGGGGTAACAGATAGGGAGGCTAGTATGTACTGGTATGTAGACTAGAGCTGATGTGGTGTCCAGTAGGGAGGGGGTAACAGATAGGGAGGCTAGTATGTACTGGTATGTAGACTAGAGCTGATGTGGTGTCCAGTAGGGAGGGGGTAACAGATAGGGAGGCTAGTATGTACTGGTATGTAGACTAGAGCTGATGTGGTGTCCAGTAGGGAGGGGGTAACAGATAGGGAGGCTAGTATGTACTGGTATGTAGACTAGAGCTGATGTGGTGTCCAGTAGGGAGGGGGTAACAGATAGGGAGGCTAGTATGTACTGGTATGTAGACTAGAGCTGATGTGGTGTCCAGTAGGGAGGGGGTAACAGATAGGGAGGCTAGTATGTACTGGTATGTAGACTAGAGCTGATGTGGTGTCCAGTAGGGAGGGGGTAACAGATAGGGAGGCTAGTATGTACTGGTATGTAGACTAGAGCTGATGTGGTGTCCAGTAGGGAGGGGGTAACAGATAGGGAGGCTAGTATGTACTGGTATGTAGACTAGAGCTGATGTGGTGTCCAGTAGGGAGGGGGTAACAGATAGGGAGGCTAGTATGTACTGGTATGTAGACTAGAGCTGATGTGGTGTCCAGTAGGGAGGGGGTAACAGATAGGGAGGCTAGTATGTACTGGTATGTAGACTAGAGCTGATGTGGTGTCCAGTAGGGAGGGGGTAACAGATAGGGAGGCTAGTATGTACTGGTATGTAGACTAGAGCTGATGTGGTGTCCAGTAGGGAGGGGGTAACAGATAGGGAGGCTAGTATGTACTGGTATGTAGACTAGAGCTGATGTGGTGTCCAGTAGGGAGGGGGTAACAGATAGGGAGGCTAGTATGTACTGGTATGTAGACTAGAGCTGATGTGGTGTCCAGTAGGGAGGGGGTAACAGATAGGGAGGCTAGTATGTACTGGTATGTAGACTAGAGCTGATGTGGTGTCCAGTAGGGAGGGGGTAACAGATAGGGAGGCTAGTATGTACTGGTATGTAGACTAGAGCTGATGTGGTGTCCAGTAGGGAGGGGGTAACAGATAGGGAGGCTAGTATGTACTGGTATGTAGACTAGAGCTGATGTGGTGTCCAGTAGGGAGGGGGTAACAGATAGGGAGGCTAGTATGTACTGGTATGTAGACTAGAGCTGATGTGGTATCCAGTAGGGAGGGGGTAACAGATAGGGAGGCTAGTATGTACTGGAATGTAGAATAGAGCTGCCCTACTACTCTTATCTTCTATTAATTTTGGATTCTTTTTTTTTTCTATTTTAATTTTTATGACTGTTCCTTAAATGCATTGGGAAATTTGACTGTTTCATCAGAATCAACAAATATTTTATGTAAACAAATGATCCCTTCAGCATTTTTGAATCATCAATTTTTGTCCCGCATTTTTTTGTTCTTGAATGTTGTTGAAAAGTTATTTTTTCCCAACTGTTCTCATCTTTTTAAAATTTAATTTACTCTTTGTTTTTCCCCAAATTTCCCAAAGTTATCCCCAATCACCGTGAAAGCTGTTTGCTCTTTATGTATGTTGCAGTTTGTACAGCATTGGCATATTTGATCATAGCTCATGTAGTTTTTTTTCATTTATCACATGACCATTGTATTCTGCACAGATTACACCCATGTCATAATTTTTGCATATTCCCTTGTATGGTAACAGCCATTGTGACGTCAGAATTTAGATTAATGATATTGGTTGTCATGGCAATATGTTTTATAATGACAATCGACATGAAAATGGGGAAGTTAGAAGACTCCACAATCATTAGAGAAAAACAATTCTGAAGAAAATGTTTGAATACATTCCTAGAAATGTGATTAAAAATTATGCTTGACTTTGTGAAACTTATTCCAAATGTTCATTTTAGCTTGGCAGAGCTTTGATAAAACAAAAACTTTGAATCCAGTCTTCATTAATCTCATTTGAAGCAAAATCTTACTCAAGGTCCTTTGGTATTTAATTAAGAATTGAGAAATGGTTTGTTATATAAGTATGCTCCATGTCGTTTGATTTGTGGATGAGATCAGCATGATTGAGTAAAGTCAGTGCTATTGTATTAATACTGTGACTATCTAATGATACAACACCAATATAGCGGTCAGTTTGTATATGTAAGCATCTAGAGTCAAGAACAGACATACTTTATGCTTCTACGTAAACGTCTAGGTGAAAAACCTGCATAGTTTTATAGTCAAGAACATGCATGTAACGTTGATATGTAAGATAGACTTTGCCCTATTTCTGTTTAAAACTTTTTGCACCTTGTCAGAATCTGTAAAGTCACAGTATTCGCTACACTGTACTGGTATTCAAATGTCTTCTTTAATATTCTGTGTCGCTCTGCCTGAAAAAAAATATTTTAAAATGTCTTGGGTATAAAAAGTCTTTTCTTTTTCATGTAAATGTAACTACACATGCGTTATCGAAATACTTCCCTTTTTCAAAGTACTAAAAGTACTAAAATTCTTAAGCATTGTTAAAGTTTTTTTGAAATGTTAAAATATTAATATATCTACCAAAACTAACTTTTAAGTCGATTTAAGTCTTCTAAGCAAGTTGTTTTGATTATAAGATCAACTTATTTTGGATAACCTTGAAAGGTCAAGGTTCACTGACTTGAGGTCATAGGAGGTTAACTGGTTTAGGTCACAAGGTTAACTGAAATGGGTCACAAGATCAACTCATTTAAGTTGAAAGCTCAACTTATCTAAGTCAAGAGGTTAACTGGTTTAGGTCAAAAGGTAACAGATTTAGGTCACTGGGTTAACATATATATTTTACTGTTAATTTGATAATAAAGGTCAAGGTAACTGTATAAGATGACCTTGATTGGTCAAATTTTCACAATATCAGTTTAACCTTTCAGAGGTTTGGATGGTTTTTTCTTTAAATATTTTGCCATTTTTCATTTATAAATCACTTTCATTGAATGTCTAGTTTTATTTCCTTTTTCCCCCTACCAACTTTTTATCATAGCTATTTTGCTAAAATCCAATGGAAACATTTTGGTATTTATGTTTTTAACTTGATTGATTTTTGCCTAACTTTGATTTCTTGCCTTTTAAGGCTAGCTACCTGGGATTATGATGAGCTGTAAGAATCCATACCAGGTGTCATCATTTTGTTCTTTTCCTGATTTCTGTGTGTAAACCAACAGTCCTCGCTTATTGCTTTGTTGACTTTTTATTACATTTAAGTCTTTGTTTATATTTGCAAGGTCACTCTTGTGTTTGTTAGGGTCAAGGTCACTCCTGTGTTTGTAAGGGTCAAAGTCTAACAAATATTTAAACATAATCATACACAAATTGACTGCAATGATAAAGTTATCTGATCCTTATGACCTTGATAAACACCTGCCTGACCTTGCTATTTTGTCATACAATATGTATTTGTCAGTTGCATGCATGTTGGTATACATAATTTCATTTTGTTTACGTATATTGATCCAACACTTAATATTTATTAGTTAATTTAGTGTAGTTAATAATTTCTTTTCATTATATGTTAAATATTTCTAACGTCAAAATCTAAATTGAAGATTTATTTTGCTAATATTTTATTAATGTTTCAGTTAATTGTGAAGATACCTTTAATGCGTTCTGCTGCAATGATCCTTAAGAGCTTGCTACAATAACAATAGATTCTGGTTTCCTGAGTTTTGAGATTAAATGGTTTTACCTAGATGTGACATATTTTTATTTAAGATGAAGCATGTCTGTTCATTATACTCACCTTGTTATTTTGATTATTTTATATGCATTGTGATCATTTTAAGTATCCACCCTGATGACTGAAACAAGAAAGCAAAATCTTATCAAAACTAGAAAAATGTTTGTAAACCATATCTACGTCCCCACTCCTGTTTAGCTAAATGCAAAGTCCCACCGAAAAGATTAAGCTAAATGTAAAGTCCCACCGAAAAAATAGAGCTAAATGCAAAGTCCCACCAAAAAAAAGAGCTAAACGTAAACTCCCACCAAAAAAANAAGTCCCACCAAAAATAGAGCTAAATGCAAAGTCCCACCAAAAAAAGAGCTAAATGTAAAGTTCCACCAAAAAACAGAGCTAAATGTAAAGTCCCACTAAAAATAGAGCTAAATGCAAAGTCCCACCAAAAAAAAGAGCTAAACGTAAATTCCCACCAAAAAAAGAGCTAAATGTAAAGTTCCACCAAAAAAAAGAGCTAAATGTAAAGTCCCACCAAAAAACAGAGCTAAATGTAAAGTCCCCCCGAAAAAATTAAGCTAAATGTTAAGTCCCACCGAAAAAATAGAGCTTAATGCAAACTCCCACTGAAAAAATAGAGCTAAATGTAAAGTCCCACCGAAAAAATAGAGCTTAATGCAAACTCCCACTGAAAAAAAAAGAGCTAAACGTAAAGTTCCACCAAAAAAATGGTTGTTATAAGTTCAATTGTAAGCTGTCCTTGTGCGTCATGTTGTCACTTAAGACAAAGGTAAGCGGCTGATGTAGAAAAGTCAGTGTCATTGAACACAAGTTCAGAAGGGTATATACGATGGACTTCGTCAATAAACTTATCATTATTTAAAAACCACACATTGTTGATACAAAAAGGTTGTTATTCAGAGTTAAAATTATAACAGGCCTACCATTCTGTGTTCAATACTCAAAGAGTCTTGTCATTCAAATTTAAGAAAGGTTTGCCATTCAATAGTAAACATTCAAAGTGTCTGACATTCAAGTTAAACATTTAAAAGCTGTGCTATTTAGAGTTAAACTTACAAATTTCACACATTCAAATTGAAATGTTCAAAAAGGTGTGCAATTCAGACTTAAACATCAAAATTTCTTTGACATTCACAGTCAAACAATTAGAAAAGGTCTGCCATTTAAGCATTGAACTGCTTTCAGTTGGCATTCATAGGCAATATGAATGCCAACTGGACAAAGGCAAATTCAATGAAGCGCCCCATGTTGGATTTGCTTTTCTCCAGTTCAAATTCATATTCTATGAATGCCAACTGAAAGCAGTTCAATGCTTTTATTTACCATTTTTTGGAATCTGTAAATCTCATAAAAACTTCAATTACACTTATTATTATTATTCAGCATTTAGTTCAAACAAATAGAAGAGCCATCGCCCAGGGAGGATCAGTGGTATTCAACTTAACAATTACAACATCATAATAATGATGACGTCAACAATCCGTCCATGGCATTCAAAGCCTATATGAATGCCAACTGAATTTGGTAGGGTTATATAGTGGCAATGCCATACGATGGTAAATATTCAAAGTTAAACATAAAAATGTTTGACATTCAAAGTCTGACGTTAAAAAAAAGTCTGCCATTCAGACTTAAACATAAACATTTCTGATATTAGAAGTTGAATGTTGAAAAAAGGTCTGCCATTTAAACAGTTAAACAGTAAGAACACACTGAGCCGTTGGAGGTGTTGTAACGTGTAGGACTGTGTATGTGTTGTGGTGTTTGTTTATAATATCTATTTAATTTTTGTTAAAACGAATGTCCAGGCTTCTTTTTCTATGTTTAGTTTTGTATTCAGTTATTGCTTCAATCAGGAAATGGAACAAAATGTCAACTTTCCTCAAATATTAAATATATTCTTCAAATTTGTGGCATTTTGACCTGGTATAGTTCTGTCTGTTACCTATGTATTTTTCCTGTCACACAGAGGGTTTAGGTGCTACTTTACAAACTCAGACTCTACCCATCACCAGGAACCCTGTAATGCTTGCTTGCCATCTGCTTACAGAAATTTAAGTTGATTAAAACAGTTCTTATATCAAACCTTCTATTACTGATTTATGATATTTATTAAGGAAATATTTTAAAATGGCTTCTATTACATGCAGTTGTCTAAACATTAATTATTGATTTATAATATTTCGTAAGGAAATATCTATAAATGGATTCTATTACATGCAGTTGTCTAAACATTAATTATTGATTTATAATATTTCGTAAGGAAATATCTATAAATGGATTCTATTACATGCAGTTGTCTAAACATTAATTATTGATTTATAATATTTAGTGAGGAAATACCTAAAAATGGCTTCTATTACATACAGTTGTCTTAACATTAATTACTGATTTATAATATTTAGTAAGGATATATCTAAAAATGGCTTTTATTACATGCAGTTGTCTTAACATTAATTACTGATTTATAATATTTAGTAAGGAAATATCTAAAAATGGCTTCTATTACATACAGTTGTCTAAACATTAATTACTGATTTATAATATTTAGTAAGGACATATCTAAAAATGGCTTCTATTACATACAGTTGTCTAAACATTAATTACTGATTTATAATATTTAGTGAGGAAATATCTAAAAATGGCTTCTATTACATGCAGTTGTCTAATTTTCATTTCTGATCCTTATCAATGTCAGTATGAAAGCCTAGTTAAGACTATTATGGCCTATTACTAAAAATACTTACAGAAATTGTCGAACCATTCAAATGAGAACAAGGTTTATTGACAGTTTATTCAAAGTCATTCTACTATATAAAGTTCTGTTTGGAATGCATGCCATATGTACCATAATATGTTCTACCTTAAAACACCCTATTAGTGTCCAAAGATATATAGACATGGTCTTTCTTATGGTCAATTTATAAAAGATTGAATTAGCATGGCCAGCTACTTAAACACCTGTCACCAATATCATATCAAAAGATTAGAAATGTTTGAATTATTGGCAATATTTTGGTAACGTTTGCTTGCCTTGCTTTATTACAGTGGTGAGAAGCAGCCTTTAGCGGGTAGCTCCGACCCTGACCTTGAGAAGGCTGGCCTTGACAGTGAACAAGACAGCTTAGAGGAATATGGGGATGTAGACCCCAGTCGATTTAACGAGGACGGGTCATTTATAGGACAATATGGAGCCCAGAATGTTTCTACAGCAGACGAAACTCAGCCCTCCGCCATGCACACATTTGTCTGATTGGTTTGGATTCCTAGTGTCATAGCAACAAGGCCAAGTAATTACTGTATTGTCATAGCAACAAGGCCATAAACATTACATTGGATTTTGTGGTATCAAATTACTGTATCAGCAGCAATGTGAGAATTGCAGCAGAATCCTTAGTATCATTTACTGTCATAGCAACAAGGCCAAGCATTTACTGTAGTCATAGCAACAAGGCCAAACATTCCAGTGGGATTCATAATATCAAAATGCTGAAGTGTTCCCTCTACCATGTTACAGATACATGGGAAAACTTATCTGAAATGTGTCTAGTCAAAACCACAAACGGCAGGAGCACAGTCTCTGGTCAAGGATAACTCTCCAGAATATTACAAATGATTGCTTGTGATACTGAGTCTGGTGTGCAATTTTTTCATTAGTCATGTGATTCCTAGTAACCATGGATACATGTATCATCTCATACTTTGTCATATTCAGCCAAAGCCTTTCTGATTGGTCTCAGTGTCAGCACCAAGTGTTCTCCGAGGTTTAGTCTCGCAACATAACGCTTCTGGAAAACTGAAAGTCACAGACTCCTTAGAGTGAACTTCAAATCAGTGTTGTCTTGTGGGGAGTTCTCGGAAAAAGTCCCAGTATTGATGTTTTTGCTTACATAATATTTATGCATAAATGTTATGTAACTGGGTGGAAGTGTTACATAAGTGCATCAATCTGCAGCAAACTGTGTATCTCTCACACAATCTACAATACCATATAATATATATATAGAAGTGTTAGATTTTCTTTGTCTGTGGATTTTATTTAATTTTCTTATTTATTTATTAATATTGAATTATGATATATATATGATTACTCCATTAAACATGAAGTGGAGCGAGTGTATCCACTGTAAGGTGGTGAAATTGCAACCCTGCTTTACTGGCAATGAGGATGTCTGTACCAGTCCATTTCTAGTGCAATATACATACTATCCACAATCTACACGGACTGGTCGTGGTCCACAAGTAGTGGATCCTAGCAATCCGCGAGTAGTGAAATACGGCGATCCACAAGTAGTGGATCCTAGCGATCCGCGAGTAGTGAAATACGGCGATCCACAAGTAGAGGGTCAGACGTTGATTATGTGGATTAATTTCAATGTTTGTGATGAAGTTATACCTTGTCCATAACTATATGTACATGTACGGCCATGATAATTGTGCTTTTGTAGGTATATGTGTATACGTGTGAGAGAACCTGACATATTTGTTACCGAAGAGTTTACTGCTGCAATGACCTCCCTTTCATTCCGTGTTTCCTGTTTGATAATCGTATTCATTTGGATATGTATAGTGTCTGATGATATATTAAAAGTCAGAAAGTGTTTGCTACCTAATGCCATCAGCCATTGTTACCGTGGTAACCATATATCACTGCTGCCTTATGTGTACAATAATGTTCCTGACTAAAATTTGAGATAAATTTGTACTATTACCATAGTAAACAGACTAATATACAGTTCAATCAATGGGAAGTAAAATTCAAACCAATACAGACCTGGAATCATTTATAGGGAGGAAGAGAACTAACTATATACAACAAAATACGACACCTTGAAGACAGTAGGGTTTGTTTGAGAACATGGTTCAATTAACGCACTGAGGAATGAAAGAGATTTTTTGGGATCATGGTTAGAGATATGATGAGAATGATTTATATCGTGGGTAACAACCTTGATGAGTGATAGTTTGTGAACATGGGTGACCTTCTGGTGACCTTCTGGTGACCTTCTGGGATGTAAGTGTTTGACAATATGGTGGACACCATAAGGAACGATAGACTGTTTGTTTGAGATCGTTTGTAACGACCAGAAGATAGATTACCTGATAACATGGCTACATATAACACCACTTAACTCATTCACCCCTAAATTTCATAATGAACTATTCCAACCTTTGAATTGGAAGTGTTCAAATGTGTCTTTAGGGGTGAATGAGTTAAAGGAGTAGGATCCCATGCTGAAGCAGCTGTCCCTCCTAAAGGCTTACTTACACATTATGATAACGATGATGATAAATTTCCGTGCAAAAATCAAACTTGGCGAGCAGAAAAATAAGCTTAATTAACTTAAACAATTGTGATAATTACTATACTCACCAAAACCTCATTCCATTTCAATATATTATATAGAATGACGCAGCAGTTCAAACAGGGACCAATCACAGCCCAGTATCACTTCTGATACAGGTTTAACTTTACACACATACATGTACTTAACACTAGACTTAACACACTTAGTTTATACAGTGTTAACTTTAAACTCGTACTACACGTGTTAACTTTACACTCATACTAAATACCAAGTATAAAATTTATTCATAATAAATACATTAAGTGTAGACTTTTCACACACAATAGAAATATTTAATTTTGCACATATGCATAATAGGAAGTGTAAACTTAACTCACTCACACTTACTACAAAATGTAAACTTTACTCACCTACAGAATACTTATATTACACAGTAATTAGGTCATGTACATTGTAAGACTTACAGAGTGTCAACTTGTGTCAAATCCAATTGCTGTATATTAATAAGCAATAAAATATGTTTAAATACAAATACACATTGGGTGTTAAAACGCATAAGTGTAAATTTGATACACAAAGTGTTAACTTAATTAACACAGTGTCAACTTAACACAAAGTGTCAACTTGACACAAAGTGTCAACTTGACCCAGTGTATATAACCTAGTCTTTATACACTATTTGTATGTTGGTAGTGTAGTGACGTGTAAAACTAAGGGTAACGTAGTCTTGTTTCCTTTTTACATGTGTTCTAACTCATTAGCCTTTATAATGTCATTAGAGCTGATAAGTTAATATCTGGTGCCATTGATTTATTTAATATCTAATGTCATTAGATTTAATAAGTTGGCATCTAGAATGTGTGTTCTAGGTTTTGGTGTAACAATATTCAAATCGGAAACATCCAGAGCTCGATGGGCTACCTAAGCTGTGACTGAAATTTCACGAGAAGAACAATTATAGCAGAAATGTACAAATGATTTTTAAAAATATGTATTTTATTTATAATCTTTTGATTAAGTTGACAAATAGCATCTTATGAACCTGGGCACCACATATGTAACTTAAATGAAATGTCTCGCATAAGAAAAGTAATCGAGTCTCATTATAATGGGAATTGTGACCTAGGTATCTTAGTTATTAGACCAGTAGATGTTCAACAAGTAACAGAATACTACAGTGTAATACATCTCATTTAGAACCCTTTTTTATTCTAGTCAGATAATAGCTACAGTATTAAATGTTTTTAAGTTTTATATTCAAAACAGAACAAGGAGAGAGCCCAACATCAGGGTAGTGTTTGTTATTTGTGTGTTCTATGTAAAAACCATGGTTACCGTTATAAACATGATATTCTCTTCACTATATTAACTCTGCTGTACAAAGTATTGACGTAAATAAAGATGTAAATTTTGTTGATATCATGTCACATGATGTAATGGGTGTAAATAGTGAGATATGGTGTGTGCTCTGATATTTTTATATGTGATCTGAGTGATTAAGGAGCTTGGATGTGATGCAGGTTGTTCCATTATCTATAAATGTAAGTTCAAAGTGACTCGAGTTAGATTCATGATCTGTGTCAGTGAAATGCTTTTGAAGGATGTAACTTTCCAGAGACTTGATTGTGAAATTTTACTTCTTTGTCCTATGAGGTCTTGCCTGCTAGTTCTTGTATAAATATACAGCTGTGGCAGAAATAACAGTCTTACCAGAAAGCGGACGATGCGGTCTCTGTTCAATATGACAAACAGTTTAAAATCTGCAAAATAAGTGTGTATGTCGTGGTTTCTAAGATTCTAAGTTCATGCTTACAAAGTTATTTACATAGAAAATCAGTGCCTGTAAATTTGAGATCCCTAGACTATTTGAGATCAGCATGACAAAAAGGCAATAGGTGTCAAATATGGAAAGGATTTCTTTTAACACTCGATGAAACAGGAAATATTACTTCACATAAACACATGAAAATTACTAGAAATTGAAACTCCATGTTTAACGCACAGGAATGCTACACACCTACAGCAAATGTATCGCCATCATGTTGATTTTGTGCAATATTTATTTTTACTGAGAAAGGAACAAAACTTTGCGAGAATGAAATTTAAAGTGCTGTCATAATGTATTTGAATGAACGGTAGTATGTAGTGATGTATACACTGGTTTGAAAAATCATTATGTAACCATATATATAACGGGATGTATTTGTCCCTGAGTCTGCTTTCACTGTACTGTATATTGTTAGCAGATAGTGTTAAGTGTCATATATATCATTGTAAAACACCTTTTTTATTCCAATAATATTTGTCCTTACCACTATATGGTATGCGTGTCCATTTACTATGATTGAGATTGTCACGGAGTCCATACTCACCTTGAAAGTAATATGGTGTTGTGACCTGGCCACATGGTCCGTATTCACATTAAAAGTAATATGGTATTGTGACCTGGCCACATGGTCCATACTCACCTTGAAAGTAATATGGTATTGTGACCAGGCCACATGGTCCGTACTCACCTTGAAAGTAATCTGGTATTGTGACCTGGCCACATGGTCCGTACTCACCTTGAAAGTAATATGGTATTGTGACCTGGCCACATGGTCCGTACTCACCTTGAAAGTAATCTGGTATTGTCATACTCACAGTACTAGTCATCAGCAGGCTGCAATCACATACTAATTATTCATCTCAGCTTAAATTATAGGGACTGAAAATGTTCCTTTCATATTATTTGTCCACTGCCTATTTCTGTCATTCCAATTCCATACGAAAGCCCAAAACCTTTGAGAAAACACCCACACCTTCGAGAACGTATCCCTACACTTTAAAGAAAGCCCCAGATGTTATAGAAATCCTCACCCGTAGAAAGAAATGTATTAAGAATGAAATGGCTGTAGTAGGTAACCTAACACAAGGAAATCCATTACAACATTGGTCCTAAGCTTCTCCTTAACAACGGTAGTTACCCAATTCACTGACAGACCTGTGTAACACAAGGAAATTCATTACAACATTGGTCCTAAGCTTCTCCTTAACAACGGTAGTTACCCAATTCACTGACAGACCTGTGTCTAAACTTGAAATCTCGAGTTGTAGATATAATGATATTACTGTTTTTACTAATTAAGAAATGAATGAATCTCCTTTGCCAGTTTTCTGTCAACAAGCATTTGAATTCTAGCCGGATGTAAACCACACATATCACTATGACAACAGAATGGTCTATTGCATTACATTTTGATATTTTAATACATGTAGCAAATGTAGTCTGTTCAAGACTGATCTCTTAGATAACGGTTCTCTGCTGACCAGTGTAATCCAATGCTGGTGGTCAATAGTTTCCTTACTGACCAGTATAATCCAATGATGGTGGTCAACAGTTTCCTCACTGACCAGTGTAACCCAATGCAGGTGGTCAGCAGTTTCCTCACTGACCAGTGTAACCCAATGCAGGTGGTCAGCAGTTTCCTCACTGACCAGTGTAACCCAATGCAGGTGGTCAGCAGTTTCCTCACTGACCAGTGTAACCCAATGCAGGTGGTCAGCAGTTTCCTCACTGACCAGTGTAACCCAATGCAGGTGGTCAGCAGTTTCCTCACTGACCAGTGTAACCCAATGCAGGTGGTCAGCAGTTTCCTCACTGACCAGTGTAACCCAATGCAGGTGGTCAGCAGTTTCCTCACTGACCAGTGTAACCCAATGCAGGTGGTCAGCAGCTTGTATATGTAACTTGGAGGTGTTTTTTTAATAATAATGAAATATGCCTTGGTAGATACATATTACCCTTTGAGCAAAACAATTGAATGTATCTGTAGCTTGTAATCTCTGTTCTCAGGATTAAATATCTCTAAAAGATCCTATAACTATTTTTTGAAAATGTAACATTCAACACATCTAAAGAAGAGGTCATGTGACTAGAGACCTCTTAAAAAAAGCAGGTCATGTGACTTACAGCTTACACCGTGGTTGTAACTTGTGTATATATCTGTATTGGCACTTTTAGGAGTTAAGTTGTGAAGTTAAACTGCTTTGTCAAGCTTACCTCTAACAAAGACAGTCATACAGAGGTAAAACGTTTTAGTGATCAGTAAATCACTGCCGTTCATCTTCTATTATCGTCTCTGTTCTCTTGACAACTATTTGTATTCATTTGTCATGTCTGTTTACATTGTAAAAATAAAGTTACAAAGAGAAACAGAATGCCTTGTTTGTTTTTTCACCAACAACTTTTTCATGTAAATTAAATTACAAGGATCACTACGTGATGATTCCGGCTGTAAACATGAAATTAACCACACTTAGAAGTCGTACATCACAAGTGATACTGCTATAATAAATCACTTCACTTTTGCAAAAAATCATCTTTCTCATAATTTGAGAAGGGACTCACTTATTCATGAATTTTAATTTTGTATAAATATTTATTCCATTGACACTGTCCATCATGAATACTGAAAGAGCATCCTTTCAAATAGGAAAAAAAATCAAAGTTCTCGAAATAAAGACAAAGTACATGTACAAGCAAAAATAGAGTGATTTATAGTGAATGGTCTTTACTGTGTCGGTGGTACCACTAGAGTGATTTATAGTGAATGGTCTTGACTGTGTCGGTGGTACAACAAGAGGGATTTATAGTGAATGGTCTTTACTGTGTCGGTGGTACAACCAGAGGGATTTATAGTGAATGGTCTTTACTGTGTCGGTGGTACCACTAGAGGGATTTATAGTGAATGGTCTTTACTGTGTCGGTGGTACCACTAGTGTGATTTATAGTGAATGGTCTTTACTGTGTCGGTGGTACCACTAGAGGGATTTATAGTGAATGGTCTTTACTGTGTCGGTGGTACCACTAGAGTGATTTATAGTGAATGGTCTTTACTGTGTCGGTGGTACAACAAGAGTGATTTATAGTGAATGGTCTTTACTGTGTCAGTTGTACCACTAGAGTGATTTATAGTGAATGGTCTTGACTGTGTCGGTGGTACAACAAGAGTGATTTATAGTGAATGGTCTTTACTGTGTCTGT